GACGAGACACTTGGCGTGTCTGAGGACAGAGACGAGACACTTGGCATATAAAGTGTCAAATAGTCAAATAAACACGCTTTATTATAGCATACTGAGCAACAACAAGTGTAATTTGTTGAACAAATCATCAACAAAACTATCACAAGTTTGACATAATCTATTTTCTTCTATTACTAATTACTATAAATATTACATGAGTTCATAATCATTATTTCATGACAAAATTACGGTTATGAAATTCACTATCGCAGCCGATTTTTTACGTTTTCCTTATATCATATTTTTGTGATCAAATTATTGACCTGCAAAATCGTGAAAATATCATCCCCGTCCCACGGTGGAAATATCCTGCTATATGATATTCAATATCTAGTGCTGCAGGTTTAATTAGCGAGTACATCTATATCGTGAAATAGCTTGCCTCTAGACTTTTCTGGATTTTCTCTAATGTGCCATTCCCAGTCTGCAGCGTCTCCAGGGTTCCTGAGGCGAGGGCAGATTTGAGGGCGTTAGGGCGGTCCTCCACGCGGCGCATGATGTCCTTCCAGGCCTTGTCTACTCCGGTAAACATCTTGTGTTCAGGCCCCAGTTGTCTGTCAATACAATCAACACAAAATGTAGGACCTTGTGTATAAACAGGAGGGCCTGTATCGCTCACCTTAGTTATCTGAACTAGACAAGAGGTTGTAATTATTTCACCAACTTGAGACCACAGTGGCCATCTCAGATTTCTTATTGACCAAAATAATTCAAATAACAACATTTGGTAAGCACAATGACAAAACTTTGTACAACATTTGGTTAAAATCAGAGGACATGGAGGCCATTTTGAATCTTGCACATCCCAACAAGTATTGCACCTGTCCTGAGGATCAAGAATGTGTTATTTACATCAAGTTTGGTTACCGATTGGCTGGGGAATATTGAGGAGTTGAAAATGTCTCAGCCAATGAGTTAACATGCACCAGTTGATCATATACAATTAATTTCAACTTGATACTAAAAACAAATGTCCTGAGAACTCAGAATATTTAACAACAGATTAGCTCATCCACCCCTGAAACTTCATAATGAACTGTTCCAGCCTTTGAATTGGAAGAGCTCCAATGTGTCTTCAGGGTTAAATGAGTTAATGGATGTTTACCTCTGGATATCAGGTGTACTAAATATCTGTTCCAGGTACAGCCAGTTTCTCTGGAACTTCATCCACTCCTCCAGGGTACGGGCAAAGGCCTGGAGCTTTCTCTCCCACTCCTCCACTTGGTTCTGTAGACACATATAAACACCATTCAACTAGAAAATGTTGGTTAACCATATACAAGCCCCCATCCCGCTTTTAATTATATGGGACTAAACTCAAAGTCTAAACAAATGTATAGTTTGGTTGACAAATGAATTTTTCAAGTTGATCATTGTTTTATACTTTTATAACATGGTGTACATATATATGCTCATAGCCAAATTGTCATGCATATTTTACGCCTCTGTGTAGATAAGCTTTACCGGTCATTTGTTTGATGAAGGTGACAGTGCATTTTGTATTTGTCATTGAAATGTCACACAAACATTTCACTGGTTGTGCTATATGAACCTGTATACAATTTATGTGTTTGAATTTCCAATCTTTATTTTATCATCAACTGACTGTTTCCATGGTAACAAAGCTTACCTTGATTGGTGCCACGTATCTTGAACCACTGATGGTTCCTATGGTGACTTGACTCTCTTCTAGTTGAGCCAGTATGTCGTCTGCTCCTCCGATAATGAAAGTGTCACGACCTGCATGAGCCACCAGTCTGAAGTCCATACCCTGCCACAGGTCGATGATCTACCGGAGACAAGGAAAAATAAGTAACATCATTAATTCATGTGATTGTCTTATCATTTGCACCTTTAATACAGTGAAGCATGTTTACCTTAAGACTAAACGGAAATCACATAACAGCATCTTCAGGGAAGGAATTGTCCTATAGTTCCTACGTATTCTACACACAGTCAAACCTGCTCATGCAACCACCTCTATTAAGAGACCACCTGTGTTAAGAGACCA